GCCTACCCCCCCCTCACCTAACAGCCGCTGCCCTTCCCTCCTCCTACCACTCCATCCCCCACAGCCGTTTCCTCCTGTGCCTCTACCCCCCTCCCTCCTAGATTGTAAGCTCGAAAGAGTAGGGCCCTCTTACCCCTTGTGTACTGTTTGATGTTACTGTTCTGTTTCATGTATTGTCCCCCCTCTATTGTACAGCGCTGAGCAAACCCTTTGGCGCTATATAAACTCGATAAATAAATAAATAAATAAGCCGTGAGAGAACGCTATGCTGCCTGTATCATCGTTCAGCATGACCGTTTTGGTGGGGGGGGGGGGGGGGTCAGTGATGGTCTGGGGAGGCATATCCATGGAGGGACACACAAACCTCTACAGGCTAGACAATGGCACCCTGACTGCCATTAGGTATCGGGATGAAATCCTTGGATTCATTGTATAACCCCTACGCTGGTGCAGTGGGTCTTGGGTTCCTCCTGGTGCACGACAATGCCTGGCCTCATGTGCTGAGAGTATGCAGGCATATCATGTTTCAGTCCATCCGATCTCAGTTATGACCTCGTCCAGATCTGGGAGGAAAATACCCCAGGAGACACCATCCGGCATCTCATTAGGAGCATGCCCCGACATTGTCAGGCATGCATACAAGCAGATGGGGGCCATACAAACTACTGAATACCATTTGAGTTGCTGCAATTAAATTTCAGCAAAATGGACTAGCCTGCCGCATCATTTTTTCGCTTTGATTTTTGGGGTGTCTTTGAATTCAGTCCTCTGTAGGTTGATAATTTTAATTTTCATCAAACGATGGGGCACCCTTACGTTCCTAACACATTATCCGTATAGATATCCAGCAGGAGATTTTTCCCCATTGAGATCTGATGTGTTTTCAAAGTGTTCCTTTAATTTTTTTCAGCAGTGTGCATACGCATAGGTGTAGCTGGCAGCTCAGAGGCAGAGACTTCCCTGCTGATGTTCCCCCATGTATAAGAATCAAGTGAGAGAATAATCACCCTTTGCTAATTGTAATGTCAGTATTGGGTACACTAATTTTTAACTTTTAATACAGGCAAAATGTGCTCAAGTTACTAACTCAGCAGGTGTGGGAAGCAGGGCTAAAGGGGATTTGCTTTGTTACTGTTATGTAGGAGGCTACACACCTAGTAAACTAATGTTAATGAGGAAGGAAAACCTTAAAGCTGCTACAGATCAGAGGTGAATTAGTATACAGGGGAAAAATTTACTAATGAAAGCTAGTTGCAATCAGCAATGGAACTACAAGATGTCCTGCCGAGCAGACTCACTGTTTAGACTGTCAGAGAGGTCAGGTGCCTGATGGATGTGATCAGAAGTCTGAAGAGAGGAAGTGGGAGATGACAGCACAGGATCCACCAAAATGTCTAAATCTGAAACCTTCCAAGGACCTGGAGATTTTTTCACACACTCACCGTCTCCCTCTAGTGGAGGATGACGAGTACAGCCAGACACCCCAAGGTCAGGAAAGAATGACACATCACCGGAGGGAGAACAGTACAAAAAATACAAAACAGAGAGAGAGAGAGACAAAGACCAAGAGACACAAGACATAGGACAAGACATTAGGATGCAAAAAAGAAAAAAGTGATGTGAGAAATGCAACACATACACTAAAATTGTACTAAAAATAAAAGAAAAACTGCACTTTGCAAAGCAACTTTTAAAAGGGAAGTATTGGGCCTCATTTTGTTTTCTATTTTATGAGCATACTACAATTTTTCACCTGTGAGTGGTCGAAATGAAGTGACCATTTATATTGCAAGATAGACAGATTGATCAGAACAGGGAAATATTTACGGCTCCACTATATTCCTCAAAATATAGTAACAGCTTGCCCCTTGTTCTATTAACTCCATCCTCTCTCATTGCAGGGTTACGTTAAGTTTTCCTGTTGAACTCAAAGAGCACTGTTAACCACATCTTACTAGTCAATACCAGATATCACTAGATGACACTGCAGGCAACTAAGCTAACCTCGTGCTCCTGATATCCTTAAACCACGTGTCAAACACAAAACACGCGGGCAGAATCCGGCCTGCCAGCCCATTTCAGGTGGCCCTTGCTCCTTTCCTGGAGCTGCGGCACCCCATTCTTCTCTGCCCCCACCTTGCCTCAGCAGCAAAGAGAATGACAGAAATCCTTCCACAGATCTTGTACCTCTCTGTGTAGCTGCAGAACCCCCCTGGTCTCTGCCTCCCCTTGTCTCAGCATTCAGCAGGTTCTGGCAGTTGACTCCAGCCCTCCTCTAGTCCTTCTTCAGACCCTGTACTTTCTCTTGCCTTCTGACGGTGGTGCCCCCCACCACCGTCAGAAGGCAAGAGAAAGTACAGGGTCTGAAGGAGGACTAGAGGAGGGCTGGAGTCAACTGCCAGAATCTGCTGAATTCTCCCTCTTGACATCTGATATAAAAGGGTGGAGTGCTCTGGACATCTAGTCTTACAGATACAACTGGTTCTTTGAGAGCAACCATAATGCTGATGCAGCCTGCAATGAAATTGGGTTTCGACACCTCTGCCTTAACCAATCATACTTATGAGAATGGGCAGCCAGGTTGGATTTCTTTAGTAAAGAACATTCATTTAGTTTAGCACCATGGTAACCCGGGCAGGATCTGTCCCTGGACATGAATATTTGGGTAAACCAGTGGCCATGTTAAATTCTTATTCATTTAAAAGGATGATTGTTTAAAAGCTGGCTCATGCCTGAACATCCAACCTCTATCTTATTCCTTCAACCAACTGCAGTCAGGAAGAGAAGTGTAGAAAAATCTTACGATGGGTGTCCTTAAACTCTGCCACCTTCAGCTCATCTCCCAAAATGCAAAAGTCTTCTATTCACAAATTGGTTCTTAATGGGACTTAAAGTAAGACAGCCATGAAAAAAAAGCTCCTATTGCTGGTCCCCTCCTAAAAATTTAAATTGCTTGACTTTTTCTGCATTCCATGCTTCATAATTTGCTGAATGCGAACAAGCATTTGGATCAGAAAAGAAAGATCTCCTAGTCCGAGGCTCAAAGCACTGAAGTCAGCAGATATGACAGCCAGGCAACTAGCATTTTGCAAAATAGGTTTTTTAAATTAGCTTTTCTCATGACAGGTTTCCTTGAGGACCTTTACTTCCCCTTTAAAAATAAGGCTGCAAAAATCACGACATCAGATGCAAGTTAACACAGACGATGGAGAATGGTCAGATTGATCATTACAGCATGAAACAGAATGTACAGAATGATTAGAATAAACAAAATGATCACAAAAAAAAAATACAGCTTCTCACCAAATAGAAGTCATTCTGTCTACAAGTCACTAAGCCCTCAAAACTGTTGACAGTTAATTCACATTAAACAGACTGCATAATGCAGCTAAACAAGTATTCATTATGTCAGATTATGAACAAATGAACAAATGAACTATCACCCCCTGTACAAACCAAGCTGCACCTACTATGGGGTCAATTCCCACAATGTTTACCACATGTGCTGCTTTTGCTGTACCTTATTTTCATCATCAGTGTAGAATTCTCAGAATGCCTAAATCATAAAAGCGCCAATTTGATGTTAATATTAGATACAATATTTCTTTCTTTATTTTAATTAATTGTATTGCAACACTTGCTAGTATGAAAATGTAGGCAAGTGTCAAATTGAAATCTCTAATAAAAATGCACCTATAATTTATGGATGCACCAACGTTGCGTCAATGACACCAACATTGCGTCAATGTTTTCCCTGTCCCCTCAGTATAAAAATAACTCACCTCCACTGATATAGCCTATCCCTCCCCACTAGCCTGTATCTAAGGACCACAGAGCTTATGGCCCCCCCCCCCCGGAGGATTGCACTGCAGATTTACTGGTCTGACTCAGCAGGGCAATTGTTGGACTACTGCAGGGAGACCACTGGTCTCCAGAAATTTTGGTCCTTAACTGCAGGCCAGTATCCAGTCATTCCTACATGGATAGGACAGTCATTAAAAAACAGTTCGAGCTTATTTACACATGTGCGGTGTGGATTAAAGCTCAGGTTTCAAAGCTACCAGTAAATGACACAGTAGTTGTTCAGTGGTTCATGTCAGGTTTACATCAGGTTCAGGACAGGATTATCTCAGGATTTTATCCTGTTCACACATACACAGTTTAGTAACGGTTCCCATAGAAGTCAACAGCCTGTAATCTGCACCTGAACCTGAAGGCACTGCTCAGAAATCATACATGACATTTTCAAACCGCACTAAATCCACACCGCCAGTGCACCGGCTTCATAGGAAGCAATGTTTTTTCACGTCATGCGGATTGGATGCAGTTCAAACCAATGGTGGGTGCTATTTTACAAAATATTTTAACTAGGCTTCATTAGGTCAGCAACTGTTCCACCTTAATGAACTGACCCGAAATGTCTTCATCAGCAAAGATGAATAGACTGTGTGAAGGTTTTCCCACCTCTAAATTGAGACTGTAGTCAGCACTTCTCTGGTGCTAATGTGTACCCACCACACACTCAATGGTGAGTCATGAAGATACTTCAAGGGGCTGACAGGTCTCATCCATCACTATGGATTTCATGACAACTGAATAGTTCCCACAAAGATATTCAGGCCACACTCAGCTTTCAATTCTCTTTATTGTGACAACTTTATAAAATTTAAGAGAATTTAAATTCCATCAGCCAATGATTGTTCTGCATGAACAAGCTCATGCTCTCTAAAGGTATGAAAGCAGAGAGTGCCCTGAATATTTCTTTGTGGAAAGACTGCCAGGGAATAGGATGAAGGAGAGACGTGCAAGAGGAAGCGTTTCATGGAAAGGATTTTGGTTTTTACACTTCCAGTCTCCTATTCAAAAAATAGCTAAATGTAAGAATAAGTCCCTTTGCTTTGTTTTGTCCCATTTATCCTACAAAATAAAGTAATACGGTTGAACGGAAACAATTTAAACAAATGATGACAATGGTCTGTCCTTGTGTTCCATCAACCTACCAGACTTAGAGCGTGTGTGTGTTCCAGTAGCAGCAAGAGACAGGGACTGAGGTTTCACTGGATCGGCAGGCAGGGTATAATTTACTGTGCTTGGAATCTGGATGTAAGGACCCACAGCAGCGACTCGCCCAGATGCCAATGTAGACTGAGGTGATGGTGCCCCGTTAATGCGATTTAGCTGTAAATAAATCCAAAACATACATGAATCACTTTGTCTTCTATAAATTGAAATCTTTTGACAGTCTCTGGGTGACACAAGGCATCTTCATATAGAAGAACAAGATGGGAAATCCCATCCGTGACAATTCTGCTCCTCTGTTCATAGTGCCTACAGCCTAGCAGCAATTGCAACAGTGAAATCATTCAGTTAGGATATCTGCTCAGGCTTGCAAAAGCTACTAGACCCCTGACCATAGAGAATAATTGGTAAGTAGTTATATCATCCGAAAATATATATATTTTTTTTTTTTATAGTAGGAAAGGGTTACCACAGCCTCTCTCAAACTTTTCAACACAGAGGAACCCTTGAAATAAATTTCCAGTCTCAAGGAATCCCTGCAAAAAATTTTATATAACTGCAACTCATGATATATTAGGGTGATGGTCAGTGGGAAGAATTACCCCCTTATGGATAGATCAATAGTGCCAAGTGGGAACTTATCTGAGTGGAAAAAACTGCTCCTTGCTCAAGGAACCCCTAGAAATTTCTGGAGGAACCCTGGTTGAGAAACCCAGGGTTAGAACCTCAGTGTATGGTTTTCTGCTTCTTTAACAGAGAGATTCAGTCTATCCTTCATGACTAATATCACCTGGACAGAAGGCCATAGATGTTATAGTCGGCACTGGAACAGGAAAAAAGCAAAATCCTTCAATGGGAACACTTGTCCAGCTGACAACTGTCCTAGAGAGAATCTCCACACGCCTTGGAAATAGTTTCTCACTTTCTATTGCGTCCCCAGGACAAGAAGTGAATGAAAATCTCCCCAATGGTACAAATAAAGAAAGAAAAACTGAAAAAAACAAACAAACAATCTAACTCTTCCATACGTCATCCAAACCTTCAACAAATCTGCACTAAAGGAAGAGTCATAACAGGGAAAATTTACTCTGCCAAAAGTTGAGCTGCAAGATTAGCAAAGCATGAAGAGTAAGAAGAAACATACAACCCACAAAAGACTCTGCCATGAATCACATTATAAAAAACAAGAGCAAACATCATGATGGTTGTACATATCCAACTCAGTCGGTCATAAAATAAAGGGAAATCTAGGATGACACAGGTGAAATAGACTTTGGTGGAACATAATAAGCTGGTGGTACATCTGAAAAACAGTCAAGACATATAGTGGGCCATTGAATAGTTAATCTTACGGGAATGTTCTCTTTTTGACGTGCCTCAACTTTTTTCTTGTAGAGCCGTTCACGAAGTTCATTTATACGCTTGTCCATGATGGCTACTTCCATATTGCGCTTGTTCAACAACTCTTTTTGCTGCTGGAGTTTTGTGTTCTGCTCCTGGTTGAGACGGTTTCTAATCTAAAGTGGAAACATGGAAAACCTTTGAGCGATTATGACTATTAAATGAGCAACCTCAGATATACTACACAAGTTTTACATGTGAGTTTTCAAATGAGTGCCTGTGCAATAGCAGAAGTAGACTGAGGACAAGAGCATGACAGAGGCAGAAACTGTACTATACTGTCTATAGAACACACTTTACTGATATAAATGCTACAGGGTCAAGTAAAGAGTGAACAGACGCAATTACTATGATAAAATATTGGCTTCCCTTTCAGGCACTACTGGGTGGCCTATGTGACATTTCAGTCAAATCCCAAGTAAGCCTAAATCTACTCCCACCCCCATTCCAAGACTATTCTATCTACCCTGTAAAAGGAAAGATGTCTATACTTACCTATTCTGAAGTCACTCCAGTCCAGTCACATGATCTCCCCAGCAGTCAGCTTTTGTGTAGAGGAGATATTTCCAACAATGGCTGCAGAGCCTGGGTGATGACATCACCTATAGACATACAATGGGGCATGCATTGTTGGCTGTCCTTCCTCTACATTAGGCTAGCGCTGGGACCCGATCATGTGACCAGACTGGAGTGGCTTCAGAATAGGCAAGTATAGAAATCTTTTCTTTTACAGGGTAGAGAGAACAGTCTTAGAATGGGGGTGGGATTAGATTTAGGCTTAGTTAGAATTTGACTGGAATTCCACTTTAACTGCCTACATAAATTGTAATGTATTTCTGAAGTTTTCTCCATTTCCCTTTATCATGATTCCGTAACACTGCACTACTGCCAAGGGAGACACAGAAAAGGAACCTAAAGACCGATAGGCTTGGGGAGCTAAGAAAATGAATGTAATGCTAAACTCCAGGCATATGGAAAAAAAAAGTCATAAAGCACATACAGTATACAGAGGCTGTTTTATCTACCAAAGGAACTGTACTTCTTGTATATCCAGTGCTAAGACCAGACTTTTCTCTACTACTACACAGTTAGGTCTCTTTTTAAATATCTGCTTGGTGTTAATCTTTAAAAAAGCTGCTGGGAAAAGCATGCAGCTCTGCTGAAAATGGAGATAGACGTTTCAGAGTTTTCCCATTAAAAAAATAAATAAATAACTGGACTGAAAGAACAGGCTGCTTTTGCCAAACTTTCTTTAAAAATGCAGGTCTGGAGCTTTGATTTCTCTTGCTTCATGCTTATTCCAAGTCAGTGAGAAAAACAAATTCAGGTCAGCAATGGTGACTTACATATTTTTTCTTTGAATGTTATTTTAACATTGTCACTGCTGCTCACAATAGAGTCAGCCATGTAGGCATGAGCTATTTCAAATAATGCAGCTTATCAGTGCAGACTTCAGGATGCAACACTTTAGACCTTTATATAGCAATATGAAAATACTGTGGTGAGTAACAAGTCAAGATAATTAGGCAAAAGTCATCCAATAATCCACCAATAGAAGAAACTGATCACAAAAGGTTCTCCATGATTTATGACAGCAGCGGCTGCCTTTAATAAAGTCTGCATCCACATATTGACTCAAGGTAGTTCAATTTATTGATGTTTTACTATTAAGCCAGTTACCTGAAGCTCTTGATACAGTTTCTTCAGCTCAAGTGCCGCAGGCCCAGTCATTTGTCCATTGTAGGTCTGGAATCCATTTAACTTTCCTTTCCGCAGGTCTTCCAGCTGCTGCGTGAGTTGCTCCACTTTCAGCACCGCAGCCTGCAATTCCTGCTGCTTCTCCTGGAACATGTCACTGATGTGCTCAATCTCCGCTGCTAGAACATAAGCAGATCATCAAAAAACAGTCCCAAAGCCATTAGCAACAAGCTCAGAATTTTTAGGTCATTGATGAGCTCAGCTCCAGGGGAGGCTGTGGTACCAGGGTCCCAGGTATCCATTTCAAATAAACTATGTAGGCACATCAGTACTCCTCTTCAATGTTTATCAGCCAGAGATTAGGAATTGGGCTAATGGAACCTAGAAATATTTACATGGTCTACAACACTTTGCCTTCCTTTTTTTCTTTTATATACTAGGACTGGCCAAACGTTGTGCAATTTTCTTTCCATCAACCATGGATTGAAGGAAAGAAAAATCACTAGATTACCCCATCAACACAATCAGTGTTGATGGGGGAATAGCTCCCTTTGAGCTATTGTATTCTGAAAGCGGGAGGTTTCCCCACTGTCAGGATACAATGATCAGTGCTGCAGTGATCACACACATGGAAAAGAAAAAAAAACAAACCTCTGATGCAGGAGCTTACTGCGCATGCTTCAAAACGCATTACCACCCCCATCCCCTGTCACTTCCGACATTGCAATTCACGCCTCGATTTGGATACACAGCTATCTCTGCACCGACTTCCTGAGTCGGACGGACCGTGCTGCCGCTGGACGGCTGGATGCCCCATCCCTTACATCAGGAATATCAGTTACATTTATGAGCCTTTTAAACTTTTAATCTTGTAAGTGCATTTTACGATTTGTGAACGATGAAATCAATATTAAACTTAAAGGCGCCTTCCGTCTTTATATGTTCATGTGCAAATATATGAACTCTGTACAAGTACATTTATAGTGTGATTGTTTTCTGGTGTGCACTATATTCTCATATATAGATTATATGTAGAATTTTATGCATTTTAGGTTAGGACTCATTTTAAGGGTAGGACCCGTCTGTTGTAGACAATGTTTATCCAAGACCAAACTGTTCTTTTTTCAATTTTGGATGGAGTGGGAAGTACGGAGAATCCCGCTATTACTGTCTGCGTGCCCACTGGGGAGATTGTGTCCTATACTTCTGCTGACCATTGTCGCTATGATAGAAATGACTGGAAATACAAAATTCAGGGTTATCCGAAGAGGAAGAGAGGGGACATTTCCCCTCATTTTGGATAGATCTCCTCTCAGCACTTGTTAAGTCTCTGGAATATGAAGCAAAAGCAACTCTCCCTAATGGGAGACTATAGCAGATAGAAAAACGGTAAAGTTTTAATCAATATGTATGCTGTTCAAATATAAACAAAAAAAAAGTTTTGACTTTAGATATACTTTAAGATTAAAGCGGAACTTTACCCATAACAACTTGATAATGTTGTTTAGCAAGGAACATACATTCCACAATAATAATTATGCTATCAAAATTAGTGTGTGCTGTAAATTGCCTCCAGCATTGTTTCCGTTTCTTCTTGCTGGAGGTTGACATTTTGCTGACGCCCAAAGCACCTCAGCAGCAGTAAATCTTTAGAATGTCAGCAGGTCACCCTCTAATGGCTCTGATTTTTTTGTACAGTGCCAATAGAGAACAGAACAGGGTGGAACAGTGCATTACTGGATTTTAAGCACCACAGACACTTCTTTTTAATGTTTTACAAAGCTATAGCTGCAAAAGGGGCCAGTCTGAAGCTATCTAGTGGGACTCAATTTTCTGACTAAAGTTCCACCTTAAGGTTCCTTGCACTCAGGGCCGTCTATGAGCAGTGCTCCCAGGAGGGACAGTTGCAGCATCCAGCCCATCAACGTCTATGGTAGGCTGTAGCTCAATGAGGGCTGAACACTGTAACAAGTAGGAACCCATGTTTAGGGCATGTACAAACATTTCTCAAATACATATTATGCTTGTAGCATAAATCGCTTAGTTAAATAACCTACATAGATTGCCATTCATGACTTTGCTGTAGTCCACCTGTCCTCTCATGGCTCGAATCTTCTTCAGCTTGTTCTCCTGAGTTTCCACTCTCTCCTTCAGCTTCTGAAGTTTCTCAGTCTCTGAAACAGTCTGCAGCTGGCGGCGTTCTTGTTGCTTTAGATACCGCAGACGCTGCTCCTGCCAACCCAGCAGAAAAGAAGAAAAGACTTAGCTGGTACAGGAAAGCCATTTTCATAATTAAACAAAAAAAAAAGAGAGCTGGCGGTTTGGCACACACAGGAAAACAAACAGCAGCAATGTAAACATGATGTCCCACACATCTGTGTGGCTTCCTCTGCCTGATATTTCCTGCGGCCTGCAGGCCCTTCCTGATGGAGCAAAATGGCTCCCTGTTGTCTAGTCCTGTGGACCCAGAAGTAAATACAGATAAGTGCTGGAGAGATAATAAAAAATTGTTAACTGTGATGAGCAGAAAGGCAGAGATAGCAGAGGAGAATGACTGCCAACTAAACCAGCTGAAAGCTAAGCCAAGGTCATGTGATATCAGTCACTGGTATGGCTTGGGCCACACTTGATCTCATATACACAAGCACACTTTCATCTTACAGGCATGCAATCTCTATGGCTTTAAGTTTGTTGAAACTGGACCATCACACCTGTATTAGTTTGTTGAGCAAGTCATTATTCCAACTTCATCATCTCAATCCCCCCACCCCCTCGCCTTCCACCAACTGCCATCAAGCCCTTACAGCTATAACTACCCCCACTCTGGAAAGGTTTTCCACAAGATTTCTGAGCATGTCTAAGAATTTTGGCTCATTCAGCCAAAAGAATTTTTACAAGGTCAGGTAGATATTGGTTGTGAAGACCTGGCTTGCATCGACATTCCAATTCACCACAAAGATGTTCAGCAGGGGTGAGGACAGAGATCTGTGAAGGCCATTTTATTTCCTCCACACAAACTCAGTAAACCATGCCTTCATGGAACTGTGTGTGTGCTCTGGGGCACAATCATGCTGGAACAGAAAAGGGCTTTACCTACCTAAACTGTCACTTTAAAACAACCAAGGTTGGAAGTGCATAATCCCCTAAAATTCCCTTGCATACTGTAGCTTTAACTGGAAACATTTGAACTCAATTTGCATATTTTGGCCAGGGCACGGGCCATTTTGAATGTACAATATATATAAAGAGCTGTGTACATTTTTGGCGATATACAATACCTGTATGAAATAAGTAAATTCTTTCTTCTGCTACCTTTAAGCTGACCATAAAGAGCTCCATTTCCATACAGTATGACGCAACATGAGAACTGAACTTGCTCACCTTGGCCACCAACATCTGTTGCTGGTTCTCGATCTGCTGCTGTTGGCGGGAGGCCATGTCTTGCAGCTCTGAGAGAGTCAGCTCCACACGTGGATTCCCCACCTACACAGGACAAAGAATAATGGAACGGTAAAAAAAATGTTCAGGTGTAAATACTAAAGAAAAACCTTATTTTAAAAGGAGATGTAACAAATTATAACCGAAGCACATTCTCTCCTCATTTCTTCGTGTTCGTTCAGGTGAGACATTCTGGGGGAGGCGATTGTAATGCTGTAATGCTGAGTCCTTTACTAGATAATCTGCTTTCAAACTCTACTTTCCCCACTGCCCAACATTCTTCTGATTCCAGCATCACTACGGGAATCCAGAAAATCCCTTCAAACTCCTACCTCAATTCAAATGTTGGGGTTTAAAGCAGATTATCTATCAAAAGGACATTGAATTGATGTGTGCTTTGCCCATGCAGGCTTCCTCAGTGCCAACCCCAAAAGCTGCCAATATTTACCTTCATTCCCCTGCTGTGAGCGAAGAGACAAAGCCTTCTGTAAGCTGCATGTCACTAAGCACCAGCACTATTACGCAGGAGTAAGGGCAGCGAGTCGCATATTTTACATACCCGAAGGTGCCAGACTTTTTTTTTTTTTCTTCTAGTTATCTGAGGTTAAGGCCTCTTTCACACAAGCCATACAAAACCGTATGCCCATGGAGGGTCATGTTTATTGGCTCAAGGTTGCACAGGCGTTCCATGCATCCCTGTACAGGCAGTCCCATTACTGTCAATTGGGACAGAGCAGCTGCACGGACACAGCCGCTGCTCCCAATGGGACATCCATGCAGGTACGAGTACACGGCTCTGAACACATCCAGGATATATGAACATGGCATAAATGACAAAGGAGCAAAAAAGGTACTGAGTTTATGGTGCCACTTTAAAGTAAACCTGTTGAAGTAGACTGCATGCGCCAAGCACAGGTCATCTTACAGCCAAACACTTGTAAATTTAAAAAAATTAGGAAAATTCTCATCACATTTGGAGGACATGACAAATGTTGTTTGAAAACATTTTTTTAAAAATGTTTTTGACATTCAGTTTTGAATTATATAAACTTTCCCAAACGAAAACAACATTTACAGTCAGAAATTTGTTGAATTTTTTTTGTCTGAATTTTCTCACATCTGTGGTTGAAAACAAACCCCAAACTGACCCCACTAACAATGATAAAATTGAATGACCATTCCTAAAAATGAAGCGTCCATACAAAATTCTACTGGTGTATGGACAGCTTTAGGCCCCTTTCACACGATCAAAGCAGAACGGGTGGTGTCCCCATTGGAAAAATTCCCCTCTATTACTTTTCTGGGGACAACCAAAAATGTGGAGTTTTTTTTTTACTTTCTCTAACGGTAAACAGGACAGATAGATAGGATGAATCTCCTTAACGGGGGAAAAGACAGCAATAAAAACCCAACAGGTGTTCCAATCCATCTCCACTCTGTCCAAAATAAAAAAAAAAAAAAAAAAAAAAAGTTTGCCTTTAAGTGATTCTAAAGGTTTTGTTTTTTTTTGTTTTTGTTTTTTTTAAGAAAAAAATAAACATGTCTATACTTACCTGCTGTGTGCAGTGGTTTTGCATAGAACAGCCTGGGTCCTCCTCTTCTCAGGTCCTCTGGCAGGCTCTCCTGGCCCCTCCCTCCTGTCTGGTGCCCCCACAGCAAGCAGCTGTTCAGATGATTGACCACTGACATGGGTGCTTACAATGATCAGATTTTATGTGAAAAAGTACACAAGAAGTTGATGCCTTCAATGAAAAATCATATAAAAAGGCTGAGATTAGAGAAGCATGCAGCTGAAGTGAAATGCAAGTCTGCTCCCTTCTATGTTACTGTATCCTGTAATCTAACAGGCACCACACTGACCAATAGGGAGGTGGGAGAGGCTGGCCTGCCTAGCATTTTATAGGAATGTTGACATTTGCATGTGAATTTAGTGGATTTTATCTGCGGAACCTTCTGAAGGTAGGTATGCTCTGATGGTCATTGTGGATCAGTCAGAATTGCAGCACCAACTTCTGGGCAACAGATGGCAGTATTACAAATGACACAGATGGAAAGCTTTTGTCTAAACAAAAAATGGTTGAATGTATTTAAAGCAGCTGACTACCTAGATTGAACCTCATGACATGACGATACTCAGCAGTCCAATTCCTAGCATTGCAGTTATTCTTAGGAAAGAGAGAAAAAAAACATGTAACCTGAGCCATTACGGATTCTGTCAATTTACTAATAACTTCCCTGAGTCATGGCAGCATATGAAGAAACTGGCTTCCAAATAATGGCTGGGATGCGCCTACTACTTACTGACAGCCGCACAGCCTACACTCAATAGTTAATGCAGATCCTCACCCTGAAAGAAAAATCCCTCGTCCACTAATGGCACTTTTTTTTTTTTTTTTTTTTAAATGTCACTGTCCCCCCCCCCATGAATGTCACTTGCCTAGAAGAGTGACATGCCCTGTGCTTCCTGTGCCATGCAGGTCACATATCCCAGGAGGCATAGTCCTTCTCAAAGGAATATGGGGCAGGCCTAGTGGTGCAGAGGCCCACCAGCTGAAAGTAGAAGAGCTGGCAGTCTCCCAATGATGTCACAGAAGAAGTTTGCGGCACAGGGCCCAAGTGGTGGCAGTAGAAAAGAGGATCTCAGCGGAGCAATGCTGGATCTGCTGCGTGGGTATCTTAAACTGTAAAGAACCTGCAACCTGGTAAGCAGGGGGCTAAAAAGAAATGGGGGGGTGTTAGAGGGCAAAGATATAGTTTAAAAAGTGTTACTAAACCCACAACAGTAAAATCAGCCTGTATATGCAGAAATCATGCTAGTTATACTCAATGTGGAACCAAAGGGGTTAATTATTAACCAAAGAAAACTCCTACAAGCCTTAGCTAGTGCTGGGCTGGGCACTGATAGGAGTCACAAGCCTGCTCTAACTTCTTATGATAAAAGATTTTAGCAGTTTATATTTACTAAAATAATTGCATTTCCATATAGTGTGTACTGTGGGAAACCAGATATAGTGAATGCAGGGTCCTGGGTTTAGTAACATTTTAAGTATAGGCCATTGAGACAAAAGCGCAAAAAAAAAAAAAAAAAAAGTGGTGGGCGTTGCTTGCCTTTAAAACTAAGCCTTACCCCTGAGATACCACCCATACCTTCCTGGTTTGGACAAATCTATTTTTTAGTAAAAGTAGAATTGAGTAAATATTAGTAGCAGGCAACTGAAGGTGTCTTACTCTTACAATATACACTGATCAGCTATAACGTAATGACCACTGACAGGTAAAGTGGCATCTGGAGGTGGGTGGGATATATTAGGCAGCAAGTAAACATGTTGTCCCTTAAGTTGATGTGTTGAAAGCAGAAAAAAATGGGCATAACAGTTAGCTGTCTGTGGGGCTGTGTAGCCGCAAAACGGTCAGGGTGCGCATGCTAACTCGTGTCTACAGCCAAAAGTGCCTACAATGGACACATGGGTATCAAAACTGGACCACGCAGCAATGGCACAAGGATTATATCAGATATTAGAAATTTTAACAGTGCCTGGGCATGGATCATCCTCTTAGTTGGTTTGTGTAGTGTAATCTCTCTGAACCAGGCACTGTTAAGCGTGCTGTACACCCACGACCACCCACGGTGGTTTGGAGCATGATTCTGTACATGTGCATTTGGTGCACACAATGTGGGTAAGTCAGCAGTACCTGCTAGAACCTGAAGAAGTCCCCGACCTTTATTTTCAAAATTGCACCACAGCAACACGTGGTTTGGAGCACACGAAAATGCACCACAGGGGCCTACATGAGATTTGGACCTCTGATGCATGCAATTTTTGCTGCCCGGACCTTGGTGAATTTTAATAATTTCAATAACCCTGGTCTACACCAAGGTACCTCAACTACAGTTCCTCCAGAGGCTGTTAGGGGTTCCTTGAGCAATTAGCAATTTCTGTCTCTCAGACAAATTCCCACTGACACCATTGATCTATTTAGCTCTCTATAATGGGGTAATTCTTCCCACTGACCATCACACTAATGTATCATGAATTATTGTAGATATCGTTAGGAATTCCTCAAGAATGAAAAGAAATTTTAAAGCTTCCTGCTCTACACAATGTTTGTCTAGGCACAAAATGACACTGTCTACTGTTTCATCAGTGCAACAACCAAAGCTCATATTTGGGCACAATCCATAATTTGAAACCTAACTCCAGCAGTAACTGAAGCTTCTGTCAGGGTTTGATTGCAAAACAATCTATCCCGCACTAATATCTTTGACGCCTTACTGGAAAATGCGTGGCCGATGGCGATACTGTGACATACCTGTAGAAACAATACCAAAACTCCCTAAAAGGAGCTCAACTTTTTACCAAGGTTGGATGTGCAAAAGTTCAAAAACAAAAAGCATCATTCCACCAACATTTTAGGGACACGAAGGACCTTTTCCTGTTGCCTTAAAAGTGGGTCCTTTATCCCCAGCAGATTGTCTCGTTTCGCTGACTTTCTTTCGCACCTTTACGCCAAACCAGATCCCTTCCCTGTGGCTCAGGCAGAGGCATTCTTTCAAGACCTCCAACTTCCTGGACTATCTGAGGCAGCGCAGAAGGCCCTCAACGCCGGTGTCACCATATCGGAAGTGCTCCAAGCTATTAAATCTCTACGGTCTACAGCTGCCCCGGGTCCAGACGGCTTTTCCGGCCTCTATTATAAGAAATTTGCAACCCTGTTAGCACCCTTTTCGGCTGACTATTTTAATGAGTTACGTCAGGGCTCATTGCCCTCTCCGGACACGCTTAGAGCTCATATTTCCATGATTCCTAAGACAACCGATGATGTGCAGGAACCGCAAGCCTTTCGGCCCATTTCTCTTCTTAATGAAGACCTGAAGATCTTAGGCAAGATTCTTAGCTTTCGTATCAATAAATACTTGCGTAGCCTGATCCACAGAGACCAAGTGGGTTTCATCCCCGGGAGACAGGCGGGTGATAATGTTCGTAAGGTGGTCCATCTTATACATTTTCTACAACAGCAGAAAATACCGGGATTCTTACTGTCCTT